CCCTTGGACAGCAAGGAGATCCAATCAGTCCATCCTAAAGGAAATCAGTCCTGAATATTCATTGGAAGGACTGATGCTGAAGCTGAAACTCCAATACTTTGGTCACCTGATGCGAAGAACTGACTCATTTGAAAAGACCATGATGCTGGGAAAGATTGAAAGCAGGAGGAGAAGGGGACGACAGAGGATGAGATGGTTGGATGGCATCACTGACTCAATGGACATGAGTTTGAGCAAGTTCCAGGAGATAATGAAGGACCTGGAAGCCTGGCATGCTGCAGTCCATGGGGTCGCAAAGAGCAAGACATAACTTAGTGACTGAACAACAACAAGGATCCTTCCACTGGATTCCCTTTTTTGCCTTAGCTGGGTCTAGCCATCTAAACAATCAGTAACTGGCAGAACAGAGGCCTGGATCAGAGGGTCTGACTCCTGAGCTCATGCTCTTTTTGCTGCAGATCAAGTTCACCTGATCACTCAGATCTTGTCTCTGCTGATGTGGGAACAAACAGTATAAAGCCACAGAACCTAACCCTTCCACTTCACGTGATTCACACACATATTCACACTCCATCTTCCACAGCGTGTGGGAAGCTGGTGTTCCCACTGATGTAGATTTCAAGATGACACGTGTGCCTAAGGGCATGGGTTTAGAAGGAAATGCTACACTCCCAGCTATGTGTCTACACTGGACTTGGGTGGCATGGTGAATAATCAGCCCCATGAAACCACACCCAGGCAAGCTCGTACAGACTTGAAAGGATGGGAAGGGAAAACAGAGGAAGTGGAAAATCTGAAAAAAAAGCAAAGGTAACAGGTCTCTACATGGTTACATAGTTTGCTGCTTCCAAAGTATTTTCCCACGTTATCTTGTTTTGAGTCCCACAGCAATACTGGAGGAATAGAGAGCAGGTACAGTATTACCTACATTTTAGAGAGAAGAAAACTGGGGAAAGGTACCTACCACGGTGCCAGGGCATAGTGGGTACTCAGTAAACTCATTCATTGATTCCATGTGCTACTGATGCTCAGTGACCACTTGCAGAATGAACAAATGTGGCTCAGAGGCATGAAGTGACTTGTCCAGGGGCAGAAGTGTTACTCAAACTTGGGCTGTCTTGCTCTGCACTCCACTGCATGATGTTACATCTGCAACTGAGCATTTCTAACCCCATCATGAATTCATGTACTGCAGATTCAGAGACCTTAAATCCCCACTGCCTGAGAGAGGCATTTCTCAGATCTGCCAGCCCCACAAAAGTTCTTAAGTCAGTGCTTATTGGCCCTAGAGACAGATCTCACGTTGAAAGGTCTTGCTAGTCAAGCAACCTGCTTCAGAAATCTATGCCTTGGACTTCCCTGGTGGTCCAGTAGTTAAGAAACCACCTGCCAGTGCAGGGAACAAGAGTACAATTCCTGGTCTGGGAAGATCCCACATGCCTCAGCTTAACTAAGCCCATGTCCCACAACTACTGAGCCTGTGCTGTAGAGTCCATGAGCCACAACTTGAGAAAGCCCACTCGCACCAATGAAGACCCAGCACAAAAAACATAAATTAATAAAATTTTAATAAGGAGAAATCTGTGCCTTGAGCACACACACACACACACACACACACACACACACACAAACTGCTCAAGAAAAGAAATTACTGCAGAAGCTATGGAATGATTTATGGACCATACACACAGCACCAATCCCTTTTTGCTACTTTTAATGCCATATGAAGCTAATTCAAGGAAGCAGGAGGAATTCCACTGCCTAAGTCCTGTGGAGGTGAAAACCCTGCCCTTCTATTAGTAGACAATCTCAGGAGCAGAAAACATGATTTCTTCCAGGGAGAACATGAAGATGATTGAGGCCTGTCATTGCTTTATTCCCTTGTCACTAGAAGAATACCAGTTCAGAAATCACATGCAGAAATTAGATCAAAATGTTAATGGAGGCAGAGACGTTGCTGTCACTTAGGGAATCTCCAGCTGAAGTTGCAGGAGCTCTTCCTGCACCTCCTAGGAGGCATCTGTCACTGACTCCCCAGGCACACAACAGATGCTTCGGTTCCTTTTGGACAGGCAGAATCAGCTAGGTGCAAATCTCTTAACTCAGATCTGCCTTGGACAACTGGAGGTCCTGGCTGGATTCCAACCAGACCCAATCTTTAGGAAATAAATAGACTAATTGCCATGGGAAGATAAATGTTCCATAAGTCAGACTCTTCCAGGTCAGCCGAGATCACCCTGAGATCCCCTTGGGCTTTCAGGCTAATGAGAACTCAGACCTATTCCAGGTCTCAGAGCAGCTCTGAGCATTTGGTCATTCAAGTCAGCAATCCAGCAGAGCAACTGGGCAGTGGAGGCTAAATGCTTCAGCAGTGCAGCTGTCCTTCGGTTGATCACCTCAAACCCTAAGTGAAAAAATAGATGGTAAATTGCATTGGTCCCCTTAGATGGGTGAGCAGTCTCCAAAGAATTGATTTATATTCACCAAAGTCATCAAGAGGCTGACTTAGAGGGACTTCCCTGGAGGTCCTGAGGCTAAGATTCTACACACCCAAAGCAGGGGTTGCAGGTTCAATCCCTGGTGAGGGAACTAGATCCCACATGTGGCAACTAAGACCTGCAGCCAAATAAAAACAAAATATATATTTTATATATATAATATATGTATATAAATATTATATAATGTGTATAATATATATTATATTTAAATATATAATATTTATATATTTATATAGAATATATAAATATATATATATATATTTTTAAAGAGAGACTGGAAATCAGAAAGGTAAATTGACCATTTATAATGAGGATGAAACTTTTCAGTGCTAGGAGTGCCCCAACTTGACATTAGTCAGGTGCCAAGACCACAGGGCACCTTCTTCAGTTGGGTGGTCCTAACTGACTTACTGGGCCAGCATCTCTTCAGCTTATAGAGCCGCAAGGGCTGGCCAAGCTTCTCAATAGGTCAGCAGTTGTCTTAAATTTTTAGCTAGCACTATCCATCCAGTTTTTACATCTTGTTTCTAGGAATTTATCCTATAGCCAGGTGCACGTAAGTATATGTAAACTATATGACCAAATGCATTAGCATGTTCAGTGCCACACTGCTTAGTGAAAAACTACAAACAACCCTCATGCCCACCACCAAGAAAATGACATAATGAATCACAGTATGTCCACACAGGAAACACAGGGCAGTCCTGAAGTGGCAGAGCGATCTGAACAATATTCTATTGTTATTTTCTTTTAAAGGAGCTTCCCAGTGGTGCTAGTGATAAAGAACCAACCTGCCAGTGCAGGAGATGTAAGAGACTCAGGTTTGATCCCTGAGGTGGGAAGATCCCCTGGAGGAGGGCATGGCAAACCCATTCCGGTATTCTTGCCTGGAGAATCCCATGGACAGAGGAGTCTGGAGGGCTACAGTCCATAGGGTCAGACTCGACTGAAGTGACTTAGCACGCACACACATTCCTTTTTAAAGAATAGATGATGCAATAAATGTATTTTTAGAGCCAGAAAAAAAAAACATAAAAGAATAGATAATACAGATGGATATAAACATACTTGAAAACATGCTTCTCTACACATTTAATCCAGAAAAAAGCACAAGAAACAGAAGAGAGAGCTAAGGAGGAACAATTAATGTTCTCTTTATACCCTTTCATACAGTTTAAAATTCTTTACTATTGGGCACTTTTTATCTTTAAATATTTTGAAAACTTTAAAAAAAAATTCTATTGCCTAATCTTCAGAATAATGTCAGCCCAGCATGTATTCCATCTGACTATTAACTGGACCATTAATTACCCAAGTGAGTTTGCCAGTTGAATCTAAGAGGCCTCAGGGAATTATGACTCCAAGGCCCCTTCCCTGCCCACAATTGTAAAGGGGGAATGTTTACTCATTTGACCCCATTAGAGGCAGATGATCCATGTGGTTGTATAATCATATCTTCCGAGAAACAGTGATGAGCAGAAAGCTGGGTCAGTTAAGGGAGACAAATTCATGTCTTTAATGCTGCTTCTGACCATCCTAACACAGACTATCAGAAGAAAGGTGAGAGGCAAAACATGAGGAGTTAAAGAATCAGAGTTTCAGTTTTGCAAGATGAAAAGAGTTCTTTGGATGGATGGAGGTGATGGTTATACAACAGTGTGAATGTACTTACTGCCACTGAACTGACAAATTTCATTATGTACATTTTATCATAATTAAGAAAAAGAATGCTTGCAGACAGCTCCCCTTCCATTCAGCCTCATTGACTAAATCAAACTGCTCATCCATTAGATAAGGATTTTTTTTTTAAGCATATGGTAACAAGAAAATAAAACAAAAACAAACACCCTACTTCTTTTTTGGGTGTTTTTTTTTTTTAATTGAAGTATAGTTATTTACCATGTTTGCCAATCTCTGCTATGCAGCAAAGTGACTCAGTTATACTTTCCATTATGGTTTATCACAGGATATTGAATATAGTTCCCTGTGCCAAACAGCAGGATCTTGTTGTTTACCCGTCCTACGTATAATAGTTTACATTTTGCTAATCCCAAGTCCCTGTCCTTCTCGCTCCCTCCCCTCCCCCTCGGCAACTACATACCTGTTTTCTATATCTGTGAGTTTGTTGCTCTTTTGTAGATAGGTTCATTTGTGCCATATTTTAGATTCCACGTGTAAATGAAATAGTATGTTATTTTTCTTTCTCTTTATGGCTTCACTTCACTTAGTATGGTAATCTCTCGGTGCATCACCCTACTCCTTTTTTTAATGCATTCTCTCTGAAAGCAGAATCAAGGGCATCCACTGGCATTTTGGCAAATTAAGTACACTCACTCCTTAGAACAAAACAAAAACTCCTTCACACATTACCCATCTCTACAGAGCTCTTTTCTCTCCGTTAACAGGGCATTATTTTAAAAGGAAAGGTTGTTTGGTAGGACACCAGAAAGGGGACCATTTGTAACTTGTAATCCTCTGGTAAAGAACCAGGATAAATGAAAATTAATTGCAAGCCCTCAGGGGTGGCAGGTGAATAATACATCAAAGCGTATAAAATAAAGGAGGGCCCTTCAGGGAGACCAACACAGACACCCCCACAGCTTCTCCTGCAGCACGAAGACCTCCTTATTTACCATGTTTGCCAATCTCTGCTATGCAGCAAAGTGACTCAGTTATACTTTCCATTATGGTTTATCACAGGATATTGAATATAGTTCCCTGTGCCAAACAGCAGGATCTTGTTTATCCGTCCTACGTATAATAGTTTACATTTTGCTAATCCCAAGTCCCAGTCCTTCTCGCTCCTTCCCCTCCCCCTTGGCAACTATATACCTGTTTTCTATATCTGTGAGTCTGTTTCTCTTTTGTAGATAGGTTCATTTGTGCCATATTTTAGATTCCACGTGTAAATGAAATAGTATGTTATTTTTCTTTCTCTTTATGACTTCACTTCACTTAGTATGGTAATCTCTCGGTGCATCACCCTACTCCTGTTTTTAATGCATTCTCTCCGAAAGCAGAATCAAGGGCATCCACTGGCATTTTGGCAAATTAAGTACACTCACTCCTTAAAACAAAACAAAAACTCCTTCATACATTACCCATCTCTACAGAGCTCTTTTCTCTCCGTTAACAGGGCATTATTTTAAAAGGAAAGGTTGTTTGGTAGGACACCAGCAAGGGGGCCATTTGTAACTTGTAATCCTCTGGTAAAGAACCAGGATAAATGAAAATTAATTGCAAGCCCTCAGGGGTGGCAGGTGAATAATACATCAAAGCGTATAAAATAAAGGAGGGCCCTTCAGGGAGACCAACACAGACACCTCCACAGCTTCTCCTGCAGCAAGAAGACCTCCTGCAGGTAATCGTCTCCTGAGTTTTCTCATCAGTCACTCATTAACATCCAATTGTCTAGCCAAGTCACATAAGAGATGCCTGACTCCAGCCCACTCAGAAAAACCACAGACGTGTGGCAAGTTCTGCACGTATAAGTTCATTGATTGCAGGGAAATATCTGGTGAGCACGAGGGACAGACTGGCACTCAGTCCTTTTCCTGTTTTCCAGTCTGAGCAGACTACAGGTCTGGAAAAAATGCTTTGTCCTTAGAGATTCTGGAAAAAAATCTAAGTAGGAAACATATTGAAAAAATCTTTTGAGCCAAGCACAGGCCGAGATCCACTTTGTCTTTCTCACCCAGAAGTCAGCTGCTTCCTTTGCTGCTTCTTTTCCTTTCCTTTAACTTCTTTGGGTCTCAATTTTGCCATCTGTGAAGTGGCAGAATACTAGTGCCTACCTCACATGGTTGTCGTGAAGGCTGAATGAGTAAGGTGTTTAACATAGAACCTGGCACAAGGTACTCAACCAATATAAGAAAAACACCATCACCACCACCACCTTCATTATTTTAGGCATTTCCAGTCGTATTCTGGCCTCAGTAATAGGCAGCTCTTCACCCACCCCATTCTCTTTCAGTCATTATTTATCGCCGATCTGGAAATATTTTCCTTGGCTCCTGTTTGTTCTCTCCACAGATTTTCTCCATATATTACCCACTTCAACAGCAAGAGCATGATCAAGGTCATTTTCACAACCCTTCTATCCTATTAGCAATCAGTAAACTGAATGGTACACAGGCTAGAGGTAATTATGGCTCTACTTAAAAACAGATGACCTTGGAATGCTGCATTTGAGAGGCAGAGGTAAGATGACCAGGCATCGTGGGTTGCCTGGGACTGAGGGGTTCTCAGGATGTGAAGCTTTCAGTACCAAATCCAAAATGTCCTAGCAAACCAGGACAAGTTAGCCACCAAGGGCAGAAAAGCATAATGTAGGCTCTGGAGCTGAATTCAATTCTGATCCTTCCACCTCTTAGCTTTGTAACCTTGGACAAGACACATAACTTTTCTGAGCCTCAGTTTTCTCATCTGTAGAATGGAGATAGCCAAAGTACCTCCATAGGATTGTTGTGAGGATTAAATGTGTTAATGAACATAAACAGCTCAGGATAGTACCCTAGCACGTAGTATGCTATGTGTGATGGTGTGATGTATGTTATAGTATATGTCACATACTACTAGTAATTCAAAGTTGTGCAATATCAAAGCATAATCCAAATGTACAATAAAATCTCTGTTTTGACCAAACACAATCTAACCTGGATCCTTAGCTGAATTTTATTTGTTCAGTATTTTCCTTCCAACTGAAAGGTACAAAAGCAGAACTAGCCAATCTTTTGGTCTCCCCAAACGTAAAATCCAGGCGTAGTCTTTGATGCAGAACTGGTTTTGGCCTGAAGCACCTATGTACATTTGCTATACAGATCAACCATTGCTGGCCAGGAGTCATCATTTCTGTTGATCCTGAATTAAGAATCATCCAGGGGAATTTCCTGGCAAGTCAGTGGTTAGAACTTGGCACTTTCACTGCTGAGGGCCCAGGTTCAATCCCTGATCAGGGAACTAAGATCCCATAAGCCATGTGGTGGGGTCAAAAAAAATAAAAAAGAAAAATCCAAACACCTTTACTATACCATATTAGAATCATCAGGACAATGTAGCCCTCCTTTAACTAGAAGACTCCATTATTTGGAACTTCCTCGTCTCCCAAACACTCCAGTCTGTCAAGGTACACTATCACACTGTTTTAGATAAGTGACTTGAGCCTCTCAGATTTTGGTATTCTTGGAGGGTCCTGGAACCAATCGCCCACCCTCCTAAACATACCCAGGAATGACTATTCCTTACTAGGGAAGCCAGTCCCAGTGATTTATTTACAGCACAAAGGTAAAACAGTTGTTCTGAGCTGAACTGTGTCCCTCCAAAAGATACTGCAGGTAGGATTCTGTGCCCAGTTACAATAGGTGATTATTCCCACACCATCGAGCAATTCTCTGATACCAGCTGGGAGTCGTACAAGTAAACTCAATTCAGATATTACCTATCTGGAGAAAACATCAGACCCCACAGGTTAAGGGCTCAGTCCTACAAGACTGCCCCCCACCCCACTTGCCAATTGCCAATTCCAAGTCCAGGTTGTCACCTACCTGTGCATGCGTGTGTGCTAAGTCATTTCAGTCGTATCAGACTTTTGCGACCCTATGGGCTGTAGCCCGCCAGACTCCTCTGCCCATGGGATTCTCCAAGCAAGAGTACTGGGGTGGGAAGCACTGATGGGGGATGCCTCTTTGAGGAAGAGACTTCTGAGCTGCAGAGGAAGACTCTCCAAGAACCTGGCAGGCAGAAGAGCAGATGCAAAGGTCCTGAGGCAGGAAGGTGGCCAGCGGAGCTGAAGTGAAGCAGGAGGGAACAGGCACTCTGGAAAAATCCCAAATTTCCAAACTCTATTTGGGTAAGGAAGTCCTGGGACACTGGGTCTAAGAGTGGGGATGGGAGTTGGGAAATTTCACATCCTTCTCCCACTCACCCATTTTTCCCATGCCTGGGACAGAACCCTGAAAGGGACATGTTCAGCTTTCTTTTTTTTTTTTTTACATGTTCAGCTTTCAGAGGACAGGTGAGGCAACACTGGTGTGCCACCACCCTCCAGGGCAGCAGCCCGTCAGTCCTCTCCAAACTTCAGATGCTTCCTCTGCTACATGCATTTCCACTCTCTCTAGTAAGGGAGTGGTGGCATCCAGGGCACTGTGCTATAATAGTTGTAACTAGTTTCACACCACCACCCCACCACCACCATCCCCGAATCCTAGAGCCAGCCACCTGTCACTTCTCTGCTTTGTTAGAGCTTAGAGTTTGTCGGCTCTCAGGTGCAAAACAATGTGACATAAGCTGTGTTTTGATCTGCTTTGCTTGGTTCTGTTTGCTTTTTCCACCTAGGGAATTCCTCCCACCCCCAGGCAGCCTAGACAAACTCACTTTCATTCTTGCGTATTTTCCCCCTCTGGGTGTGAAGCTGTCAGACCTGAAAACCAGCAAAGAAAGCCATCTCTACAAGGGCAGCTTCTCTGCAAAGGTGTAATATGATGCTTTTGGAGGTAATTTACACTGGAAGTAGATGTTGGAAGTTATTCTTAATTTGCAGCTCACTGGCATTTCACACCAGGACTCACTGGTCCTTGAGGTAAGGTGCCAGGTCAGTAATGCCTTTTGTACCTTTCTCTCTCTCTCTCTCTCTCTCTCACACACACACACACACACACACACACACACAGTGATTTGCCACCTTTCATTGTACTTCAGAGGAGCAAGAGGAATTCAGAGCCACAAACCCAGAGATGGCAGCAGGGATGGGGTGAATCAAGACCTTCACTTCAAAGGTCCTGACACTCATCATGGTGTAATAATGAACCAGCCTCCTTCGCCCCAGGGCTCAGTGCTTCCTCTGCTCCCCAGCCACTTCTGGGAAGGCTCTTCCACACCTACCGGAGAGCTGAGAAACTGGCTTTGTTCCTTAAATTGCAAGAGCTTCCATCCACCGTGGATCAAGAGGTGCCAAGATGAGAACTTGGAAGAAGCTTGATCCTAAATCAGGTTGGACAGTTGCCTCTTTGGAAATGGCAGTTTTCTAGAAGCTGGTGGAGTCAGTGATGAACAGTCTTGGAAAGAATCTTCTAGGTAGAGAAACTGGGATGCCAAGAGAGCAGAAACACCAGTTCCCAGCCCTGGGAGGAGACAGTGGGGTCACCAAGGGATGGCTTAAAGAGACTTCACCCATTCCTGTAACCAGCCAGCCCTGTTCCCCAGCTTTGATGTGGGCTATTGATTGACTATTTCCAATTTTTTCTAAAGGGCAGGTCACTGCTCCCACCAATTTTTATCCAGGAATCCTTTAAGCCCTCCTGGATAGAAAATTTTAAATGTTTATTGGTTTTATTTTTGACTGCATCAGGTCTTAGTTGCGACACGTGGACTCTTTCCTGTGGCATGGACTCCAGAGTGTGCAGGCTCGGTAGTCCCCTGACATGTGGGATCTTAGTTCCCTGATCAGAGATAGAACCCATTTCCCCAGCATTGGAAGGCAGCTCCTTAACCAGTGGACCACCAGGGAAGTCCCCTGGATAGAAATTTTGAATCCATGATGATAAAAGAAATAACAAAATAATAATAGTAATAGGGAATACTCTGGCGGTCCAGGGATTAAGGCTCATTTCTTTTCTGACACAGCCCAGGTTCAAGCCCTGATCGAGGCATTAAGATCCTGCAAGACTCGAGGCCTGGCCAATAAAAAAGTAATATAACTCAGAAACCACTCAAGACCCTCTGTTGTCCACACTCCCAACCTCAAAATATTTTATATTTATAGAATGCTTCACGATTTCTACACCCCTTCCCCCATAAGTTATTGATTTAAATTTCGTGACAAACCCTTGAGTTCATATGTAGGTATTAGCCCCTTTCTACTGCAGAGGAAACTGATGCTCGGAGAGGTTAAGTAATTTGTCCAAGGTCACCCTGCCACTATACAGGAAGTGGTGAAACAGGGACTCTGGTCCAAGCATCCAGATTCCTAGTTCAAAGGGCTTACCACTGTGTTCCTTTGCTTCCCAGAACCTCAGATCCACACAGATCTTGGTGGTTGGCAAATGGAGATCACATGTGTCTAGGCTGGCTGGGGAAGAAATGTAACAGACATTCCCACCAGAGGCAGCAGAGGCTTTGTGACAGCCTTGTTACAGTGATTAAATCATCCTGTGTCAGTGACAGATTAGAAGATTGAGAGGCAGGTGGGCTAGGAACCTGGAAGCACCTCTGGGACAGCCCAACCCACAGGAACCATCCATCACCAGGAATTGGCAGGACCCATGGGCTTCTCCAGCCCCTCCAAGGACCAGGCAGCCGGGGCCCTGATGAGCCAGATGTTATCCCCTGCCATTTGCATCTAAAATTCCTGGTTTCTTGGCAGGAATTGATGGAGGAGGCATAAAGGAATGGTATAATGGGGTTGGCACTTTTAATTCCTTTCTGACCCCCATTTAGGGCAGCCTCAAGGGGGAAGTTCCCCAAGGGTTAAATGACTTTAGGTGATGAGCATGAATACAATTAGACGACTCAGCCAAGAGGTGTCAGAGGCCTGTGGAGGGCCATTTGGCAGAATCACACTTTTAAACGAATGAATTTATCCTGCAAATATATTCTCTCATGGGCCAAATGAAGCATTCACAAAGACATTCACTGTAGCACGTGTCCATGTAGCAAACAAATAAATATTAAACACTGCAGATATAGCAGGAAACATGCCAAAGTAGTTGCCCTGATGAGCTTTCCTTCCAGAGGTGAAACATTTATTTATTCATCTAATAAATCTTTACTGAGCCCCTACTATATGCTAGGCATTGTTCTAGGACAGTGTTGCCAAATAAAATATAGGCTACCTAGCTAAATTTGAATTTCAGATGAACGATATTTTTTAAATTTTTTTAATTTTTGACTGTGATGGATCTTCACTGCAGCACAGGCTCAGTAGTCGTGGCTTAGCTCCCCCAAGGCATGTGGGATCTTAGTTCCCTGACCAGGGACTGAACCTACATTCCCTGCATTGGAAAGTGACGTCTAAACCCCTGGACCCCCAGGGAAGTCCTCAAATCACAATATTTTTTTAGTATATCTGTGTCTGTGGGGAGGGATGGACTGGGAGTTTGGGGTTAGTAGATGCAAAGTATTACATATAGGATGGATAAACAACAAGGTTCTATTGTATAGCACAGAGAACAATATTCAACATCCTGGGATAAGCTGTAAAGGAAAAGAATATAAAAAAGAATGTGTATATATGTATAACGGAGTCACTTTCCTGTACAGCAGCAATTGACACAATGTTGTAAATCAGCTATACTTCAATAAAAACTAAAACAAAACCAAAAAAAAAACTATGTCCCAAATGCCCTGCCCTCTTGGGATAAAAATATGGGAAATGCTTACACTAAAAAATTCACTGTTGATCTGAAATTGAAATTGAGCTGGAAAGACTGTATTTCAATATATTAATTCTGGCAACCCTATTTCAAGAACATTGTTTATAATTCAGAAACACCTTAAGTGTCTGTCAACAGGGAACTTGTTAAGTAAATTATTAAAAAATCCAAACAATGGGAAATAATTCCCCAAAAAATAATAAAGTGGATCTATCTGGTGATTTAGAATGTCTACAATGCAGAGTTAGGTAAAAAGAGGAAAGTTCAAAATAGTATACAAGTTATCTCACCATCTGGTGAAGAAAAAGAAATATGGAGACATGTACATATGTGTTCATCAAAGCACAGACTCTCTTGGGAAGGTGCCCAGAGATGGATAACTGCTTGCTTCTGCAGAAAGAGAACAAGAAAACTGGGGGAAACAACAGTACCCCTCAGTACTTTGAATTTTGAAATAAATCCATATCTTACTTATTTTAAAACGACTTCTTTTGGGCTTCCCTCGTATCTCAGTGGGTAAAGAATCTGCCTGCAATGCAGGAGACCTGGGTTTGATCCCTGGATCAGGCAGATCCCCTGGGGAAGGAAATGGCAACACACTCCAGTATTCTTGCCTGGAGAATCCCATGGACAGAGGAGCCTGGNACTCCAGTATTCTTGCCGGAGAATCCCATGGACAGAGGAGCCTGGCAGGCTACACAGTCCCTGGGGTCGCAAGGGTCAGACATGACTTAGCATCTAAACCACCAAACAACTTCTTTTACCTGTGTCTGTGTTTTAAGATATTTTGACTGGTAGGGTTGTATGATTCTTGGAAAGAGTCACCATAGGCTCCCTGAGGGTCTTCGACACAATTTCAGGATGGTCCAGGAAGCAGGAGAAAGGACACAATGACCTTGAAGGGACACTGAAGTTCAACATCAAAAACCAAGGCATAGCTGTAGGAGCAGGTACATAATTTTCAGGACCTAATACAACATGGCAACCCATTGTTCATAAATTAATAAGAATTCCAAAAATGGTAATAGCAGAGCTTTAAATCAAGTATGAGTTCCTTTTACATACAAACAGAGAAAACCCACACCACAGCTGCTGGTGGATTTCTTCGAATAAGGACACCGGGAACATAATTCCTCACACAGCCATTTTCCACACTCACCACTGCTCCAGTCATGAGATCAGAAGAGAAACCAAAGGAATAAAATAAATATAAATCAAAGCCAACCATGTTAATAAAAGGGGTCTAAGGGTCAGTGTGACAGGCAGAACATTAGAATTCAGATAGCTTTAGGCTCTTCCCGGACAAATTACACAAATTGCTGTCAGAGGTGTCCCAAGGTTCACACAAAATATGCCTTCTGGCCCATGTAACTCCCATTTCCCGGCAGTAAATTATTAACTGAACAAGGTCGAGCTGGTACAGCTGTTGCCCTAACACAGGCCTGACATCCACATGGAAGCCCGCTCGATAATTTGTGGTGAAAGCGACCGGCACTAAATCCATCTCTCCCTGAACGGCAAGGGAAGAATCCTGGATACAGCATCCCGCCTCCATTTGGAACCGGTACAGAGTCCCCATCGAGGGGCGACAAGGTGACCCTGCAGCCCGAGAGGAGCGCCTCATAACCCAGCAGTCAGCGACCTTGTGAGGCCAAGGACACCAGAAGGAGGCATCCAGTGGGTGAGGAGGGAAAAGGAGGAGGTCGGGAAAGGAAAGAGAGACTCTGGGAGAAGAGACTACCAGCTGAAGAGGGAGGGATGGAACGAGGAAGAGGAAAGAAATAACAAGCTTTCAGACAAAATCTGTGGTTCCTCAGCCTCCTCACCACCACCATCTCAGCTTCTGGAAGTCCTTCTGGTTCTTGAGGATCAGTTCAAAGGACACTTCTTCCAGGGAGCTTTCGCTGATTGCCACAAGACCATGTTACTACAAAAAGAAATAATAACATCGATGGCGAGTGTACCACGTACCAGCTGCATCATCTCATTTAATCCCCCAACCCTTTGAAGTAGACACTATTGCTACCCCAGTTTTTCAAAGAAACCGACGCACAGAGAGGTTTAGTAACCTGCTGAAGGTCACACAGGTGGCAAATGGTAAAGCTAGAAACAGAGAGTCTGACTCCAGAGCTCTCACTTTCCACCACTCAGTACTACCATTTCCTTCTTCTGCCCCATCTGTGCCCTCCAGCGGCTCAGACTTGGCCTGTGGCTCAAATTTTACCTCTACTCCCGTCTCTAGGACACTGTCTCACCTCTGTTCCTCCAGGAACCCAACCAATATCTAGCACATAGTAGGTACCCATGAGAAGTGAAGTTGCTCAGTCGTGTGTGACTCTTTGCTATCGCATGGACTGTAGCCTACCAGGCTTCTCCATCCATGGAATTTTTCAGGCAAGTGTACTGAAGTGGGTTGCCATTTCCTTCACCAGGGGATCTTCCCAACTTGGGGATTGAACCCACGTCTCCTGCATTGCAGGCAGACGCTTTACCCGCTGAGCCACCAGGGAAGCCCAGTAGGTACTCAGTAAATATCAATTTCATTCCTTTCTCACATCAGACACATATACAAAAAGTACTGCAAAGAGTCGGGCATGGCTAAGCAACTGAGCACACACACACAAGCTACAGACAGGGAGAGAATATTTACAAATCACATACCCAACACAGGATTCATATCCAGAATGTATAATGAACTCTCATAACTGAACAATAAGAAAACAGGCAACTTGATTTTAAAAGGAGCAAAAGGGCTTCCCTGGTGGTACAGAGGTTAGGAGTCAGCCTGCCAACCCAGGGGACACAGGTTCATCCCTCCTTCGAGAGGATTCCACACACCACAGGGCAATTAAGCCCACGTGCCACAACTACTAAAGCCCACGTGCCTAGAACCCGGGCTTGGAAACCAAAGAAGCCACTGCAATGAGGAACCCGTGCACCACAGTGAAGCGTAGCCCCCACTCGCAGCAACTAGAGAAAGCCCTCGAGCAACAACAAAGACCTAGCACAGCCACAAGTAAATACATTAAAAAAACATGAGCAAAAGATATGAACAGTGCTTCACCAAAGAGGAAATAAGGATGGCAAATAAGTACATGAAAAACTGTTCAGTATCATTAGTCATTAGGGAAATGCAAATTTAACCTCTGATGAGATATTACTACACAGGTATTAGGGTGACTAAAATTTAAACTGCTGACAGTCCCAAAATCTGGCCACAATGTAAAACAACTAGAACTCTCATACATTGCTGGTGAGGATGCAAAATGGAACAGTCACTCTGGAAAATAGTTCGGCAGTTTCTTAACAAAGCTAAGTATATATACATTTGCTCCATGACCCAGTAGTCCCACTCCTGGGCATGTATTCTGGAGAAATGAATATTTATGTCCACACAAAAACCTGCACATATATATTTATAACATCTCTGTTCATAATTGCCAAAAACTAGAAATAGCCCCAAATGTCTTTGAATGGATCAAGAAACCAAGTCCATCCAGACAATGAAATATAACTCAGCGATAAAAAGGAACAAACTTTTGGCACAGAAAACCTGGAAGGACCGCAAAGGGATTTATTCTGAGTGAAAGAAACCAGTCTCTAAAAGTTCCATGCTGTGTGATGCCATTTGTGTGACATTCTCAAATAACAAAACTATAGGGAACAGATCAGTGGTTGCCAAGGGTTAGGTACGGAGAAGTGTGGAATAAAGGGATAGCACAGGGAGTTTTTTGGAATGATGGAGCAATCCTGTATCCTGATTATGCAAATGGTGATATAAATCTATACATGTGTCAAAATTCCTGTAACTACTTACTAGAATGGCTATAAACAAAAAGACAGGACTTCCCTGGTGGTCCAGTGCTTAAGAATATGCCTGCCAATGGAGGGAACATGGGTTTGATCCCTGGCTGGGGAAGATTCCACATGCTGAGCGGCAACTAAGCCTGAGAGCCACAAAACTGAAGCCCGTGCCTCTAGGGCCCATGCTACGCAACAAGAGATGCTTAACGCAATGAGAAGCCCTCACACCACAACTAGAGTCACTCCTGCTCACAACTAGAGAAAGCCCACACACCGCAACAAAGACCCATCACAGCCAAAAATTAATTAAGTAAGTAGTTTTAAAAAGACAAATAATAAAAAGTGTTGGTGAGGAGGTGGAGAAACTGGTACCATCATACATTGCTAGTGGGAATGTAAAAGGGGGCAGCCACCCTAGAGAATAGTTTAGCAGTTCCTCAAAAAGTTAAACATCCAATGGGCTTTTAGATATAAGCCCAAGAGAATAAAAGCATATTTCCATAGAAAAATTTGTACACAAATATTCATAGCAGCATCATTCTTTTTTTTTTCTTCTTTTAGCCAAGCGGCCTGTGGGATCTTTGTTCCCCAACCAGGGATCAAACTCACACCCCCTGCAGTGGAATACCAGAGTCTTAATTACTGGACTTCCAGAGAAATCCCCCAGCATTATTCTTAATAGCCAAAAACTAGAAACAACCCAAATGCCCATCAACTGATGAATGGATAAACAAAATGTGGTACATGCAGACGGTATAATATTATTCAGTCTTAAAAAAGGAATAAAGTACTGATACATGCTACAATATGGATGAATCCTGAAAACATTTTGTAAGTAAAATAGGCCTGACACAAAAGGCCATATATTGTATAATTCCATTTATATGAAATGTCAAGAATTATACAAATAGGGATTTCCCTTGGTGGTCTAGCTAAGACTCCACACTCCCAATGCAGGGAGTCCAGGTTCAATCCCTGGTCAAGGAACTAGATGCCACATGCTGCAACTAAAGATCTAGCATGCTGCAACAAATATCAAAGATTCCAAGTGCCACAAGCAAGACCTGGCACAGCCAAATAACTGAATAAATATTAAGGGGAAAATAGACAAATACACAGAGACAGAGAGTAAATCCATGTTTGGCAGGGCTTTGGGGAAGGAATAAATGAGAAATAACTACTAATGGATATGGAGTTTCTTTGGGGAATGATGAAAATTTTCTGGAATTAGTGGTTCTGGAATTAGTGGTGATGTTGAACAGCTTTGTAGATATACTAAAAGCCACTTAATTATGCACTTTAAAGGGTGAATTTTATGGCATAAGAATTATACTGACAAAAAATTCATAGAACTCTACACCCTCAGGAAAAAAAAAATAAATTTAAAAAGTCAAACTTAATACAATTAAGTATTATGCCTGGAGGGTAGGAACCAGGTTCTCACCTACCGTGTAAGGTGCCTCACACACTAACCATTTTGGACAGGAGTTCCCAAACTTGACTACACCTTGGAACTTTCTGATGTGGGGGTGGTATTTAAAAATTGTGATGCTTGGCAACCACCCCTAGACATTCTGACTTAATTGGTCTGGGGTGAAATCTGGGTACTGAGCATTTTTAAAGCTTCCCAAGTAATTCTAAAATGCAGCGAAATTTGAGAACCACTGGCTTAGGAAATAATTGATGAACAACCATTCCCGAGAGCCAAAAGCCAGCCCTCCTCCCCTCCTCCATTTCAGAGCGGTCAGATCCGATTTGTCCTTGGCAAAGAGAACAGCTCCAATCATTCCTGCTGTTCACTGTGCCAGACAGAAACAAATCCAAGCATTCTTAAGGGCCACTGCTCTCTCTGGCATGGTTGATGAGACCACCAGCAGTTCTGAAGGAGGGTTTGCTCTGTCATGCTCTGCCCCTCCATCCTCCTCAGACTCTCTCTCTGGCTGCCTGGGTTAGCAGCTGGGGCTGGTGAAGTGGAGGAGTCCGCTTAATAAAAGCATGCTCAGCAGGGTGTAGCAGGCTTTCTGAATGACCTTTCCCAGGAACATTCATGTTTTCAAAGCTGACTCCCTGCAAAACACAGGCCTGGAACCCTAAGGATGGAATTTCAGATGCTAGTGGGCATGATTTTATGGCAGAGGGTCTCTTCCCGTGACTTTTCTGGCACATGCCTAGACAGGTCAAGCAATCACTTGACCTGTCGGTTTTCTTTTCTTATTGATTGGATTGATTCATTGAATCAATTTATTATTTGATTTATAAATAAATCAAATTATCTATTCATTGAATGAATTTATTTTTGACTAGACTGGGTCTTTGACGCTGTGCACAGACTTTCTCTAGTTGCAGAGTGTAGGGGCTACTCTCAAGTGGCAGTGGGTGGGCTTCTTATTGCAGTGGCTTTTCCTGTTGTGGAGCACTGGCTTTGGTACCCCACAGCATGTGGAATCCTCCCCAGACCAGGGATCGAACATGTGTCCCCTGCACTGGGAGGTGGATTCTTTTTTTTTTCTTTTTTTTTTCATTTATTTTTGTTAGTTGGAGGCTAATTACTTTACAATATTGTAGTGGTTTTTGTCATACATTGACATGAATCAGCCATGGATTTACACATATTCCACATCCCAATTCCCCCCTCCCACCTCCTTCTCCACCCGATCCCTCTGGGTCTTCCCAGTGCCCCAGGCCCGAGCACTTGTCTCATGCATCCTGCCTGGGCTGGTGATCTGTTTCACCCTAGATAATACACATGTTTTGATGCTGTTCTCTCAAAACATCCCACCCTCACCTTCTCCCACAGAGTCCAAAATTCTGTTCTGTACATCTGTGTCTCTTTTTCTGTTTTGCATATAGGGTTATCGTTACCATCTTTCTAAATTCCATATATATGCGTTAGTATACTGTATTGGTCTTTATCTTTCTGGCTTACTTCACTCTGTATAATGGGCTCCAGTTTCATCCATCTCATTAGAACTGATTCAAATGAATTCTTTTTAATGGCTGAGTAATATTCCATGGTGTATATATACCACAGTTTCCTTATCCATTAGTCTGCTGTTGGGCATCTAGGTTTCTTCCATGTCCTGGCTATTATAAACAGTGCTGCGATGAACATTGGGGTGCATGTGTCTCACACAGGCAGAAACACACGTCCGTGTGTGTGTGTGTGTCTATGTATGTGTGTGTCTGTGTGTGGGGGGGGTGGGGGAGGTGGATTCTTAACCACTTGGACCACCAGGGAAGTCCCCCGGTCTGTTTTCTTAGAGAGTGAGATCCTAGCTAGCAGCATTCCATTCACTTCATGGCAGTAGTCTGAATTACAATTTCACTCAGCTATGATTAGGTATCATCAGTGGCATCCACAGATGTTCTAAGCCTCTTGATTCATTGAGAGCCCTTTAGTATTATCTGTACTTTGTGTTATTATAATGTTGCTTCACGCAGGTGAGTCTTTTCTCACAGTTTAAGTTGCAGATTACAAAAACCAACTCAGGCAAGCTCAAGCAACAGGGGAGTTTACAATAGAATTATAGGTGGGACCAGGAAAAGGTAAGCCTCAGAGAAAACAGGAATCTGGGCATCTATGGTCAAGATCAGAGAGTAGAACCTGGGCCTCCATCCTAGTGGATAGGGAAGTTAGATCTCAAAGAGTAATAATAATCCAACATTAATTGAATATTTACCACGTGCCAGGCACTGTTCTAAATTCTACATATATTAACTCATTCAGTCCTAAGAATAACCCTATGAGGACATTCTTGTTGTAATAGTTGTTGAGTTGCTAAGTCGTGCCAGATTCTTTTGCAACCCTATGGACTGTAGCCCACCAGGCTCCTCTGTCCATGGGATTTCCCAGGCAAGAATACTGGATTGGGTTGCCATTTCCTTCTCCAGGGGATCTTCCTGACCCAGGGATTGAACCCACATCTCCTGCGTTGGCAGGCAGATTC